CTCCCTATAATAGATGATTGTACTTTTGGGTTTACTTTTCATTTTTTTAATGTATATTAGTAATGAAAAATGCTTCCTGTGTCATTTTGTGGAGCATGGTGTACCCCATTTTACTAGCTTCTAGTGAGACCTATCCGTATCTTTATCTTATAGAATAGTGTTCAGATTAAATTCTGTTCCAGTAAAATTTAGTAGACCACTAGACCTTTCCTAAAATTTTGTACAAACTAATCCATAAGCTTTCAAAAACCATTGTTGTACATTTTGAACCATAGCATTGAAACAAAAAGATTAGAAACAAGTGAAAATCACAAAAATACAAAAATGTCATTAATGACATGGGGTAGCACCAAGATTGTCCAATTACAAAGATCTTAGGGCCTATGTTTCTTAAAGAAAAGGATTGTTGTGCAACTTTTTAAGAATAGGCATATTTTTCACTTGAATGTGGATATTTGATTTCTGAGTTGATAATAAATTCAATTTTATAGAAAATGAATACATGCACATTATGTTCAACAAAATAACACTCGTAATATTTTTGAGTTTAAATAAAAAAAACCCTTTCCTATTAAAAGCAATTAGGTTAGCAAGATAGTGAATAAAAGTTGGGCTATACGGCTATACCTCTGATTTTACTGAGACTCTGTTGGCCACAAAATCCTCCAAGCCCTCAACTTCAGGAAGATGTGAGAAGATACACCTGACAAGTTCACGCATTGTGTGCACTGCCATTCTATACAGCAATTCACCTTTTGTTGTGGCTTGATGAACAATCCGGAAACAAGTATTAACTATAGTGCAGACATGTTGATTACTCAATACAACAGATGCTTTACTTTCCATACAAGCCAGTTGAACCTGAAGAATCTTTGTCAGTACCACCTCTTCTGATGCAGGATCAGTCACCTCAAACCGGCAGCTGGTGACAGCATCAACGACAGAATGCATCGCATCTTCAATATTTTCAGTGTTTATATCAAGCACATCAAGTACTAAAATCTTATAAACAGATGACAAGGCAACACTAGTAATGGAGGCACCAGTTTCATCAGACCGAATAACATCTAAAAATGGCTGGAGGTACATAATAGGACTAATGTTATGCCACTGCTGCTGCCACATAAAGACTTGCTTTCGTAACGCTTTCATAGACTGGATAAGAGAATGTTCTAATTGGTCATCCCCCGACATATATCGACCACCCCATCTCACATTTCTTCTCATGATTGCCAATACAGCACCAATCTCTGAGTTGATCATACATGATATAGCAGCTTTGTTTGATGATGTAACTTCAGGCTCTTCAGGTTCTTCTTCAATTGTCTTCACAAAAGATTGCAGCTTAAGACGACCCATATTTATTACGAAAGTACTTTTGCAAGCCCAGAGTCTCAGCAATTAACAACTAATATCTGAAATGAGCACCACACGCCAAGTCATATCACTAGCAGCTAAGGGCTTGATTGTTATAGTAGAAAATTTCGAGCTAACCATATATTTATAATAAAACATTTAAAAATAAATTATATCATGCAAATTATTTTTGGATTTGTCACAATGTATATTTTTATTATAGGTAGTTGAAGTCATTTCTCTGTTTTTATTTACTTGTATCATTTCTGTTTTTATGATTGAGAGTCCATTATTTCAATCATTAATATCTAAAATTATCAATAATTATTCTAAAAAGTTGAATCAATGAAAGTACCACTTAGACAAAGCTAACATAATCCCACATATTTATAAAATTTTCAATAAATCATCAAATTTAGTCGACGAAAGCGATGCAAGTAAAAACAAGATCTATCTAAATGTGTAATTTCAAAATATCAAACTTTTTATAACTCTTATTTACATGTATTGCTAATCAGAATATATACGGTTGATTGACAAACGGGATGAAAGAAACGTGTCAACTAGTTTGAAACGAAAAACATATAATAATTTAAGAAATAAGTTCTCAACTCCAAACCATAATCCTTCATAACTTTCTTTTACAAGATTTAACATACGTAGTAAAATAAAAACCCACTTTCCATAACTTTCACATTTGATCAACAGTATAACAAGTATCCTAAACTATTTTAAGAAAACAGGCTATAATTTTATAACAATTAATATTAAAAAAAAAATGTAGCCGATTATTCAGGAAGTAATAATTTATTGAATTCAATAAAAAAAAATCAAAAACATTTTATCCTTCCTTACCCTCTATACTACTCCAAAATTCCAAATAATAACAAAACAAGTAGAAGAATTAAAATTGAGAGAAATAAAGTATTTAGGTTTAAAAAATTGACATACATTATACATCACGAACACGGGTGCTAGTGTTGAAAACTCGGAAATGAATGACGGCTAAGAGCAACCTTGGATCCGTTGGTTAGTAAGTTGCGACGGGCGTAGAAGAGAATGGCAGTCAGATTCAGAGGAGCTGCACAGGGGTCGAGGTGGGAATTGTGGAGTTTGTAGGAGTGAGTTGTGAGTAAGATCAAAGAAAGAGAATATTTGCAGAGCTTTGATTCATACGGAGTTTTGAAATGAGTGATTTAATAAGTGTGAAATTACATAGGAAGACATTTTAGATTTTTTTTTTTTATTAGATACTAGTACTATAAATTTTCAATTTGGAATTTTTTTTTTTTTTTTTTGAGGTATTGCTTTGGGTTTTTCATTTGGCACCCTAGTTATTTTTTATTTTTCATTAGCATAGTGTCCGTGTAATGCACGATTTATAAATTAAATTACTAATTCGTAAGGAACAAAAAAAAAACAAATATAATTCAATTAGTAATAGGAAAATTTGATTCTAATAATCCCACCTTTGCCCGGTTCGCTTTTAATAATCCCACCTTTCGATTATTATTTAATAATCCCACCTTTTACACATTTTTCTTTTGTTGGTCCTAACAGGTCAGTTTACCGGATGTAACAGGTTACATGTCCTACGTGGCGTATGACCGTTATTTATTAAAAAAAAAAAAAAACTTTAAATACCCCCATTCTCTTAAAATCTCCCCTGTTCCTCGTAATACTCTCTTCTTCCTCCCAATTAGTTTATGCTCTGTTATTTTCTGTCAATTGGAAAACTAATTCCTTTTATTTTTTTTAAATCCTCCCAATTAAATTATGGCTGGGGGGACTGCTGCGTCTTTTGGATCTGGTTCTTCGTCCAGTTCAAGGGGGGGTTTGAATCAAAGGGTGAAGTGTAATTGTGGGAGAGATGCTATTGTTCGAACTGTTAGGAATGGGCCGAATGTTGGGATGCGATTTCATGGCTGCCCTTTATGGCCTGTATGTGGTTTGATTTCCCCTAATTTTTTTGTAAAATTTAAAAAGTTAGGGTTTCTGTTACAATATAATTAAATTGTTGATTTAAGTTTGGAATTGGAAAAATACAGGAGAGAGGATGCGTGTTTTTCAAGTGGGTTGCTGGGAGCAATGAAATTGATGACCTTCGTTACCAGGTGCTTGAGAAAGATACTACCTTAGCTGAGAAGGAATTTGAGAAGAAGCTAATGGAAGAGAAGATTAAGAAATTACAAGTAAAAAGGGAGAATCTTGAGGAAGAAATTCAGGATATGAAGCTTGAAATTTCACAAATACGCATTGAATTGATGAAGAGTTCTAGGAACGAGAAGAATTTTTCAATGTCTCTGTTTTTTTCATGGGTTTTCTTTGCTTGTTTATTGTTCTATTTGAAGTAGTGGTGGGTGTAGCAATGTACTGTAGTTGAAGATTTGTATTGTAAGGGCAGGTTTTTATTTGATATAATGTTGAAGAACTGATGAATAAGATGAGCATATTTCAGATTTTGTTTGACATTTCCAAGTACATTAACATTGCAAACAAAACGAAGTCATAACATTTGAAACAGCATGTTCATATTACAAGAGTAAGTTCAGTGCATTATCATATATAATGCCAAAAGATAACAACGTCCAGAGTTTACCCAAAAAATTAGTACCATTGTTTATAATAACAACCCCAAAATAACCTAGCTACTCCAACTGATGCAAATGAACTTGAATATCAGGAAAAAAAAAAGAAGAGTAGCAGTAGTAGAAGTCATCCAACTTGACTTGATTGTGTTCCAGGAACGGACTGACTATGCAAAGTTGTTGGTGTACCAGAAGCCTGTACAAGGAAAAAAAACAAGAACAATAATTAGCATACATTGATACAACAAGTTCTAATACAAGAGGGTTACTAATTGACTCACTGTTGTGACTGCAGTGCCATCAGATGCAAATAAGACTCCAACCCCTACAGGCATCCTACCTCTTGATCCACCCCTCCTCCCCCTTGCTCTTGATCCTCCACTCCTACCTCTTGTTCCACTAGTGTTATCCATAGAACCAGAAATAGATCCACCTCTACCTCCCCTTCTACCTCTAGCTCCTATTCCACCCTTAATCATTCTCCCACCCCTACCCAATTGACTTGGATGGGCAGTGGCATTATGGTGTCCAGAGTTGGTGGTTTGTGCAGAAGCCATAGTTGGAGCAGATGTGGTTGTCACTTGTGTGGGCTGTTGGGTTGCTTGTTGAGCAAAGCTGGAAGATGGTTGTGCAGTGGACCTAGGCTTAGGGGGTTGACCATCATTCCTTGGTCTTCCCCTTGGTCTTTTAGGAGTCGGTTCCCTTACAGTAGCAGTGTCTTTGTTGGGACACCTTCTTTTATTATGTCCTCTGACTTGACAGATAGAACAAGTCATTTCCATCCCTGTCTTGCTTAATGTTCCCGGTTTTTTTGGCAGCTCAAATGGATCCTTGATCCTATTTTTTCTCGGCCTTCTGGGCCCTATCTTAATTGGGGGTGGATCAATGGCAAATTCAGTCCTCGGCCAATGTCTTTCCCCCTCACATGGGGGAATAGAACCTGCAGCAGAACATATAAGAGTTAGAAGATAGACATCTAAAATAGGAACTTTACATGTGCGCACTGAATTACAAAAAAGACTCACCTGCATAAGCTGATAAGTACACATCCTTCTTCTAGCTTTCATGAACAAAGTCTTCTGCTTCCTTATGCAAGAAGAATATGCAGGCAACAGCATGGCAGCAGGGTATGCCAAGCATATCCCACTTCCTGCATGTGCATGTTCTTGCTTCCAAGTTAACCACCAGTTGATCCAAGCAATAGTTCACATTGAATAAGGTTTCAGTTGATGGTGTGACATCGCAATTGGCAGCTTTTTCCTTTTCTGTCTCAAGTTTCATCTGGATCTTGGGGCATAAGGTTGAAGTGCACTTCTGCATATCAAGTCTTTTCAACATTAACCTTTGCATAAGGTTAGCCCTGATATCTTCAAGCATGTAGAGGATATGTTTTGTCCTTGCATTTATTATGTAGCCGTTGAAGGTTTCCACCATGTTACTTGTGATGGCATCAGTCCTGAATGATGGGTCTAAGAAAGCTCTGCAGAAGCATTCAGGTTTATATCCCTTAAAAGCAGTAGCAGCATCAGGGTTCATGGTATTCAACTCATCCATTGCATCAGTGTAATCTGCTTTGTTATAAGATTTTGCAATTTTCCAAAATTGTAGCTTCATTTCTTCTCCTCTGTGTGCCTTATGCTAGTTAGCAAAAAACATGTCTGGCACAGTGCCTATGTTTAGATTTTGGGAGAATTGTAGCCACAGCATTCAATATTGCCTTCAAGAAAAATTAATATTCAACATTCAGTTGTGTACATAAAGAAAACAATATATAAACTAAAAACAAAATTAGCTGAAACACATTTGTAATAGGACTTACTTGGTGCTCATTAGATATTATGCATATGCCGTCCCCTTCTCCTAGATATAAGCACATTTGAAGCTGAACAAAGAACCATTCCCAGGACAGGTTATTTTCCCCCTCTACCACAGCCCATGCTAGTGGAAATATCTGGTCATTACCATCTCTGCCCACAACAGATAGTAATTGACCACCTAGGAAGGTCTTGAGGAAACAACCATCCACACATAGGACCTTTCGGCATCCCTCTTTCCACCCCTTTTGTAAAGCTTCAAAGCAAATAAAGAGCCTCTTGAATACAGGTGGGTTTTGGTGTGTACTAATATCAGTGACTAGCTCAATGGTTGAACCAGGGCTACTTCTTTTCAGTGCTGCTATGTACCCACCAATCTTGTTGTAGTGCTCATACATTGAGCCATGCAACATTTTGTGGGCCGCATACTTCACTTTGTAAGAAAAGTTTTTTTTGACCACAACCTTGAAAGCCCTCCTAATAGTTTATGTAATTTCTTTGGCTGGCCAATGAGGCCTTGTTTTGAAAACCTCTAAGAATTGTTTAGCCACCCAAACAGACTTCAATTGCTTATTCTTCTTCATATTCCTGTGACATGTATGTTCATTTACCACTCTTTTAACAACCAATGTTGCCCTCCTTGAGTCCCATGAAGCATACAAGTAGAATGGACAGTTATCAACACACTTAACTCCTATTCTTTGTTGTCTCTTCTTGTTGCTAGCAATTATACTAACATTTCTGCCCTGTAGTATACCATACTTTGCCAAAGCTTCCTTAAATACATCTCTACTGGCAAATCTTTGACCCACAGCAAAACTGAACTTAGAAAAGTCAGTGTTCAAGTTAACAAGAATACCTGACCTTTTCTTTTTCACTGCATGCCCCTCATCACCACTTGTTTCTGGTGTGTGGATATCATTTTCACTATCCTCATACTCAGATAGTTGACCATCTTCATTTGTCTCACTAGCTGCAGGTTCACCACCTTGATTTGATGTACCCTCCCCTAACTTCCCTTCATCTGCATCCCTTTGAAGTTGCTGGACTAGATGGACTAGCTTGGTGTTGTAATTCTCAACCCTTTCCCTTGCTATAACAGCCTCTTCATCACTGAAATCTGATTCATCTTGCACAGGCTCAGTCAAAGCTTCTTCAACTTCTTCTTCCCAATCTACACCACCTTCCTCATCTAACTCTATATCCTCTAAACGTAAATCTGAATTAACCTCCCCTTCTTCACTGCACTCAGGCTTATATAATGGATCTGTACTGTCACTACTATGACTAATGGAGGGCAACAAGTCATTCAAGTTCACTGGACTATTAGGCCTATTATCTATCCACTCATAAGAATCAGAAGTGTTTTCATTCTCAGGAAGGACAATGTCAGTGTTTTGCTCTACTACAATGGGTTCAATATGAGGAGAAACAGGTATGGTGTTTTTGGGTTGAGCAGATGTGGTTTCTGTTAGGGGTAGTTTAGAAGCTTATTTTTTTGGGGTTAGTTTCTTTTTCCCTTCAGGGTTTGAAATTAAAGGCTTATCTGGTGTTTGAGTTGTTGTGGAAGTGAGATTCTTTAATGGTAAGGTTGAATAGGTGGGAGCATCTTTTGGTGGTGGGGTCCTCTCTATTTCTATATTAGATGATGTAGCAGCATCCTTATCTAAGGGTTGGGATTGAGTCAACTGCTTTGCTTGCTGGTCAAGCTCTAGACCTTGACTCTCATGCATTACATACACTTCTATACTCCTAAATTTGTCAACCAATTCAGTCAAGTTCCTAACATCATCATCATTTCCTACCTTCCTTAATCCATTATCTAAAGTCAGCCCTGGGACCAAGTAATAAAGCCCTTGTACTTCATCATCCTTGCTACACTTTTGGGCTAGCAAAAACATGTCCCAGCAAGACATTTCATCAAGGTCCACTGCAAAGGTCTTCCTACGCCCACTTACATATTGTAAATTCCCATTTCCTACAGTTTTAAACACCCCTCCATAACAATACTTCAATGTCACAGTAGCAAATGGATCACCCATCTAAGAAAGAACAACACAGTACAATCAATTCAACACTATAACCACATCCACAATATATAACAACACAAACAATCAAAAAAACAACCAACAAACAACAGTAAACAATCCAATTAAGGTTATCTAAATCAAAACCTATGAAGTACAACCACCAGTTCATCCAATTTACAAAAACTCAAATTTAACCAATTTCACAATTCAAACAACATTTTCAGCGAAAAAGATAGGAACTTGTAATGTAAAGCATATTCAATTACTTAAATTAACAACAAATTCATAAGGTTCGGTTGAGAATTGCAAACCTGCTAAAATTGGTTCGAATTTAATGCTTAACAGAGAAGTACACACAGCAACCCGTACTTTTTCGTCCTTTTGACGCAAAAATCTTGATGCTTTTAGGAGGTATAAATGTTGTAGGATGGTTGGTGGTTCAATTATGGCGTTGAAATTAGCTAATTAGAGGAGGGAGACTACTTTAATTGAGTAGAAATGGAAGAGAAAGATGAACAGTGATGTTACATAAGTAGTTGGGTGTAATTAATAACCCACCAAAAACTTTACGAGGGAAACAAAAGGAAACCAACAGCCTTAGGTAATATTTAGTTAAAAAAATAAAAAAGATAAAAAAAAAAATTATGTAGACTTTAGTACCCGGTTTCCAGTCATATAGGACCAACAAAAGAAAAATGTGTAAAAGGTGGGATTATTAAATAATAATTGAAAGGTGGGATTATTAAAAGCGAACTGGGCAAAGGTGGGATTATTAGAATCAAATTTTCCTTAGTAATAAAGGGCTAATTTACTAATGGTCGATATAAAAATAAAGGAACGTAATTTGAATAGTATTTTAAGTTATTTGTATATTTTTTATTAATTCATTTTTTTAATTGAAAATTAAATGAATATTGCTCCACATAACTAAGTAAGAGAAGTTGGCTTATTCATCTTTCTCTCTTAGAGAAAAAACTAAAATTTCTTGTCATATCTTCCACTTCACTAGCTACAATCTAATATAAAGTACATGTTTTACCTATCGTATTCACAAAAATCTTTAATTATTATTATTATTATTATTATTAATTTAGCATAAATTTTCCTTGGAAAATATTTTTTTTAACATTTAGATGTATATTTTTTATCTAAATTAATTTAATTTTACGTTAGGTTTGTATAGTAAAAATTTGGACATTGTACTATATTTATTTAATATTGTATTACATTAAATGTGTAGTCTAAAATTACATGGAATGAAAAATATAAATTACAGAATCGGAAAGTATATGAATCAATATAATCACAAATATATTATATGATTTGGTGAATATTTTGTATTTAACTTATAGTAGGTAATTAATGTCATTGGCTAAAAAATGAAAAACATGGGAGAGGATTTTGGAGGGAAAAAATAGCACCAGAAAATGACACGTGTCATTCCTGGTGTACGTCTGTTTAGGTATTATGTATATTGATGATTGATATTGATGATACCATTATACTTGTAAGTTAATCTCTATCGTCATAAATTTTGTTTTGATTTCTTTGATCTGGGTGCTATTAGTGCTATTAAAATTGCTCGATTAAAATTTTAAGGGATGTTGAAGCCCTTAAGGATCAATTTGAAGTCAAAATCAACAATTAAATTATGGAGATAATTAAGTTCGTCCATTTGGCTCGTCGTTATATCATAGCTAGAGGTACTAATGATCTTTGGGCTAGTAAAATAGGCCAAACCTCAATTGGACGGATCCTATAAGGTCACACAAAGGGCCTAGATTGTCACTCTAGGTGGCCAGCCATAAGAGTAGGTTTGTAGGGTTTTGGGCTTTGTAACCTAGTCTAATTATAATATGATTATAAGTAGACTAGGTCCCTAGGTTTTTCTACAGAACAATTTTACTATTAAGTTGAAACCCTAATTAGCAAACACGAAACCAAGCCTCTCAAACTCTTTCTTTCACTCATGGCTCTCTCTCCTCCTTCACGGCCCGGTGGTGTGCTCGTGGTGGTGTCCGGTTGTCCTCAAAGGTGGTGATTGGGGTTTTCCTCCTTCACTCAACCAATCTAGTATTAGTGGATGGCTCGTTCAAATCTCGTGGACTAAGTAGAGGAGTGACGCTTGGGGCTCTATTCTCTCCCTAATTTGTCGATCGAATAGCAATGTGGAGATCACGCTTCAAAGGTATAATTATGTGATTCTTGTGTGTTATGCATGTGTTCTTGGTTTAGGTGCTTATGAATATGTTCATGAAATTCCTCTTATAGTACCTATAAAGTCCTACAGGGCTTCTGATGGGGTTGTGGATAGAGATTCCAATGGTGCGGTACTCTTTTCAGCTACTAGGAGGGTCCGTAGCTATTGGAATCCAATTGTGGCAGAAGGGAAAGCTTTGCTCATGGTTGCTAGGCTGGTTCGAAGGTTAAGCTACAGAAACATGATTTTTGAATCGGATAATCTCACCATTATAACAAAGCTGTCGAAGGCCTCTATCTATTTTATAGATCTTGACTCCATCTTGGAAGATATCTTTTCTCTTACCTCCTCTTTTTATCATGTTAAGTGGACTCATGTAAAAAAAAAGGACGACAACTATGTTGCACATCACCTAGCTAAATTAATTTCGTTTGGTGTGGAGCAAGTTTGGGTTAATCACTGTCCTTGTGAGATTAATCTGTATATACTGTCGAACTTTTTGACCATTAATTAATCTTATTGCTCCGTTTGTTTAAAAAAAAATCGTTTAAAGTTTTGGGGGGTGATTACAAACTTAAAGATCAAACTTGAAGTCGGAACTTATAAATAAATAATAAAAAAACCTTATGAATGCCCTAAACTAATATTTTATTTAACAAAATGTTATGGTAGAGAATCAGTCAAAATTACAATGTCGCCATGTGGATAAAAACAAAAATCTATACTAATATATTAAAAGGCATTTCTAAAAACGTCTATGTGCCACTTAGACTCCTCATTGCGCCACGTCATATACTCAATTTCTTAATATGCCATGTAATCAACTCAATTCTCCTTCAATATGCGGCGTCACCCATGTAACCAATAATAACACTATATAATACACCAACTTATTTATTTAAAAAAAAATAATTATGTGGATGAAGAGGTTCGACACTCAACCAGATCCAAGAATAAAAGTCATTGTTTAACCATCTAGCTAATTCTCACTTATGTTACAATTTTGCACACAAATTTATGTTATCTATAACTCTTAAAAGTGAAATTGGGTATGAAAATTTCTACTTTTTGCTATTTCCTTATGAATAGTGTGACCCCAATTTTGCCCCTTAGTTTTGCTCATACTTTGCCCTTTTCTGTCGTTTTGCTTTTTTTTTAAAAAAAAAAAAGAAAAAGAAAAAGA